CAGGAATGCGGCTTGTCTCCTGGGGGCTCTGCAAACGCTGCTTGCGTAATTGGGTTTTGATCCAAAACCACCCAGCCCATCCTGCACCGCGGGCCACGCTTGGCTGGGTTAGTTACCTGGGGCCAAGCGCGGGGAGGGGGAACGCTTGGGTTGCAGGTGCCGGGAAAAGCAGGGCAGCTCCGTGGGGAGCTGTTCCCAACGCCGCGGGGCATGAGCATGGAGGTGTCGGGGAGTCTCTAGGGATCCAGCCCATGCCCGTGCCCAGAGGCAAACCAACATCCAAGCAGTGGTGACACAAGATCTCCGGCACCACGTGGGATGCTCCTGGCCTCCCCCGTGCCCTGGCACCCAGGTAGGACCCCTGCGGGTGACATCCCACCTCATCCACCTGACCTGGCCCCTCTGCCCCCGTAATTTACAAACCGTTGCCCATCAACCAGTGGCGCTCTCTGAATTTTAGCCAGGGCTCGTTTGTCGTGCGCAACGAGAGAGGCTTAGCAAAGCCGGCCACCTTCCTGGCTGGCTTCCAGGCATCGGCCAGCATCTGCCCCTTCCCCAGCAGGAAGGCCGAGGGATGGGGGGGAAACGACTCGTCCCGGCTCCGGCAGCACTGGGATCAGGGACGCAGAGGCCGTTCATCAGCCAGACACGTGTGTCTGACACGTTGGGCACAGCGTTCGCCTCCCTCCCTTTTGCTTCCCAAAAAAGCAGCCGTGTCCGGAGCGGAGCACGAGTGCTTTGTGGGGGGCTGTTGTCCCTCTGACGCTGGCATGCGGAGATGGCTTCTCATCACCCCTTCCCGCTGCCATGTCGGGGTGGGGGAATGACGCCTTTTTGTTGGATTTGTGCTGGCCGAAGGCAGTCTGGGAACGGGCAGAGCCTGGTGTGACCCTTGCTTGGACCTCCTGGGCGGAGCGGCTAGGGCTGAGACCCCACAAACTCATCCCACCCTGGAGTTCGCTCCCAGCTGAGGCCGGACACCTGCAGCGGGAGGCTGCGTCTGATTCACCCGACTTGCCCGCTCTCTCGGTGCCCGGCGCCGGGGACCGCCGACCTCAGCCTGAGCTGCCCCACGTGGGCTCCGGCGGCCGAGAGAACGGCCCACCAGCGCCGAGGGCGAGAACAAAAGCAGGAAAGCCTGCAAGAGCGCGCTCCCTGCTCTTCCTCCTCCCTGTCCCGCAGCACCAGGCTCGGGATCTTCCGGAAGCCGGCG